TATTTTGTTGTATTTCAAAAATGATTAATTTTAAATATATGACAATGAAAATATTGATTTTTTATAGACATAATGCACTTTTCAAAATATCTTTGCTCTTTTCAAACTATATAAATTAAAATTTACATTTTTTACATTTTTAGTTATTTTTTTAAAATATTTATACTAATGTTCGTGATTGGTTAAACAGCTTAAAATAAGTATAATCTAATACAAACGTTTATCTTTTTCTTTTTTTTTTTGGAATGATTAACAAATAAAACCTTGGGCATAAATACGTATTACTTTTTTAATAGCGTTTTAAGTAATCATTTGGACAAAATATGTTTTAAGTTAAAACCTCAAACATTTTCAAATTGTTTTTTTTTTTAATTTATTTAATATTTAATTTCTAATACTCATAGCTAAAACAATGTAGTAAAAGATTTCTTATTAGTTCCCCTTATTAAAATAAGAATAAAGAAATAGAATTAAGTTAAATTAACTTTTAATGATTATCTCAAATTTCGACATCATTCTATTTTTTTTTTTAAAGAAATATAAAATCTCAACCTTGGGGTATAATAAGAATATATGCTAAATTACGGTGACAGTGAGTTACTTGCTAGAAGAAGCCATACAAAACTGTCAATTCATATTTATTTATTTTTTAACTATTTAACGTTTAATTAAATATGGTTTATAAACTAAAAATAATGATTCTAGTATTTTATATTATGATTTAAAAAATTTTGTCTATTAGGACTTGAACATTTTTATTATAACGTATAACATAATGCATATAACTTATTATTATCATAATATAATGACATTTTCAAAATGTTTAAGCTAATTTTAAACTATACCAACAAAAAATATATATATTATATCATTCTTGCAGTGCACGTCGGTATTGTTGTATACGTTGTTAATCTAACAGTCAATAATGCATTATTATAATTATTACCTATTATTTTATTGTGATATATTCGGGGAAAAATAGTTCAATTTACCGTTATGATAATATAAATAAATGATAAAATATTCTTAAATATAGAGGCTGACTCAGTATCTCCGGTAGAATTTTTTATATGCAATTGTTTCATAAGTTAAAATTCAACTATATAGTCAACTGACTTACTAATGAAGTACATTCAACTTCTATATTATAGAAAAGAATAATTTCTTCAGTTTTATTTTTCATGTATAAATTTAATATAATATATGATTATTGATTAATAAATTTTAAACTTCCGTTTAATTTATTTTTTTAATAAAAAAATATCTATGTTTAACTTAGTGAAGTAATTTCCTATGTTATTTTAAAAATACATCTATAGTTGCTGAGGGAAAATAAATCATAAATATTTAAAATTTCAAGGATTGTCACTTAAAAATAATAAATATCATTGACTTAATATTTTTTTTTGATATCTATGGGCTTTTTCTAGGGTTGTTAAAGTCATTGAGAAAATAAAAATAAAACTAAATGCTCTTAAGTACTATAATATATCTAGCTATGTGGAATGTACTTTCTGTTGTAAGAGTAAAAATATTTACAAGAAAATTTTAGAGCACTAATCCTTTACTTAGAAAACCTAATGAAGTATATTATAATATTGTTATGTACCATAATATATAGTATATTAGTTTTGAAAACACTGAAAATTGTTATAGTCATACTGCTACTAAAATTTCATTATTAAATTATTAATATTTAAGTCAGGGGCGGCCAATCGCAAACAATTTCAAAGTTAATCGTATCAGAATCTATTTTTAAAATACGTATACAAAAATTAATAATGGTGTTTACAATTAAATAATTAAAAAAAAACATTTTTATCGATTTTAATTAAGATGAAGTATATTTTTAGTAAATCGCGGTCAAAAAAAGTTTGGCTGTCCCTGATTTAATTTATTTATAAATAATAAAATCTATCTAAATAAAATTAAAATAATTTTTTCCAAAATTTTAAATGATATTAGTTAATATTAAAAATTTCAAATGTTTTAATGTTCTTGATAAAAAAAATCAACATTATCATACACATACACATATAAATAATACTGTATACTATATATAACCATATGTCCATGTATGTACAGTTAGATACAACGTTATTCATTCTGCTAAACAAACACGACAAGTGCACATGTGTACCTGCTTATCACGATTAAACGAAATGTCGTATTAATTATGTTCACCATGAGTTATCCTGAATTAGTCAATACAGGATGTAGGTGATTAAAAAAATATATAATGCCATGCCCATAAAATATTATACAAACTGAACGTTTAAATCTGAATACAAAATAACAGCACGTCACTATATTGTTATATACCTAACTATAATATTGTATACGCGTTTGGAAGTAAAACAAATCGAAAAACTTTTCAAAGTTATTCATCTTGAAACTGTATATAGTACACGCCTATTTATGTAAAAGTATAAACCAAGTTTATTATAGTTATATAATTTGTACGGGCAAACAGTGGTCGTACTAATAATATTACACTGCATATCTTATGTAAAAAGTAAGATTTTTTTCAATTATTTTTGTACAGGCATTGATTATTCTAGATTTCCATTGATAGGTTATATATTCGAATATTATATTATTATTTATTAATTAGCGTACTGATATATTATTTTTTAGTTCAACATGATATCTATACCGTAAAAAAAAAAATGTCCCAAAGTTAATTTGATAGATAAACTGCATCCCGATCAAAAAGATATATAATAAGTCTTCGTAGTCTAATTTCGTTCCTTTATACTTTTTTGAAACATAGTTACATCCCGAGTATCAATTATTGGAATTTATTTCATTAATATTCATATATACAATATTAAAACCATGTTAATGAATAGTATTTGCTGTATACTACAGCTATACACATAAATATATAAAAATATTGGTTATTATAATTATTTAATTAAATATCGTAGATTTTAATGTAAATAAATATATTTAACAGATACAAGAAATAATAATTTACATATAAAATATTAAAATATGTATTTTTTTTTTTTTTAGTAAATTAAACAATATTTTTGATTGACTCTTAGTATATTTTTTTGAGAGGACAATAATTAATATAATGTTTATATTAAATATTTTTAAGTTATATGTATTTACGTGCATCAGCTTAAATCAATATAAAGCACTGTGAGCTTAAGCTCAGCAAAATATAATTACAACTGATCGAGTAGACAGATTTTTTTTCACCCTTTTAAAATGATGTCAATTGGAAAGGTAGATACATACTAATATTATATACCTTCCACTATATACTGGTATACGATAATCACTTATTATAAATATTCAATTTTATGATTTATAATCAAACACCTATTCGTTTTATTTTTTACTACCATCCAAAACTACGAGAGAGATAAAAACTGAAAAATTACGATTCGTTTACCCATTCTTTTTTGCTTACTTTTTCTCTCCGTTTATAAAAATATATCTCATTCTCTTTTGTGGTCGATGTTGTATATATATTTACACTCTTCTTCAAATTCTGGTCACGTTTTAATTTTGTTGTGCAAATACATATTAACGGGTAATTATTCATATAATAAACTCCTTTCTATATCCACTTCGAAATCGACGTCGTTTAACATCAATATAATATATAATAGGTTATTGTTATAAGAATATAAAAGATATATTTAGGGTATCACCATTCGTGGTTCTTTAAAAAGAATCACTTCAATACCTTAAATTATCAATTATAATTTGAGTTTACAAAAAGAATAAGGTTTACGTAATACTTTTTTTTTTCACTAATAAATCTTCTTAAAATAAAGAAAAAAACATTAGATATCAATATATTTATGCCTACTTAAAGTTTTGAGAAAATGTATTAATTGTATTTTTTTCTTACGTGTAATAATTTACCTTTTAAATTTATATAATGGTTAAAGCCTTTCTAGGTTTGTGATAAGACAATTTTTCTTGGTCAACCTTTTTATTTTTTTTTGTTATGTTCCTATCAAAGAGCTATTTTTATGGTGCATAGTTTACCTTGATAATCATTGCAACTGTCTTGTTTTTATACAATCGATTATAAATCTTTTGTTTATTTGAATATTTTCTGTGTTTGTTAATTTAATATTCTATTTATATAACTTGCATAAAGCATATTACTATGAATGTATAATCGTACATCATTGTGTACGACAAATTGTATTATTATGAATACTAAAATTGTAACAAGTATAAATAATGTTATATATAATTCGCATATTATAAATTTTTAATTAAAATAGTAAAAACATAATATGATAGATAGGCAAATGGCTTTATATAATTATTAAAATAATTTTGGAAATCATACTATAGCATTGTATATAAAAATTATTAATGTTGCACGTTTGTAAATTAAAAATCCATATCAAAAATACCAATGAAAAACTTAAGCAATTTGAAAAAGGTTATAACCTTAATATAACGAGGAACAGGGCATTTTAGATTTTTGAAACATTCATTCCCATTGAGTTAATAATTATTTTAGAAATAAAATATGTTTATAATTCACTATTAACTCAAAATACTGTGTATTATTTTGTAGTTTTTTTCCACAGTTAAGTATGACAATATGTAGTTAAATTTTTTTGTGTCATATTATATTCTATAAGAACGTTACCAATCATGAACACAAAATAATAATAAATAAATATTTTTTATAAATTTTTAATTATATTTGGCTTATAGTTGACAGCTAAGAATAACGTAGAGCACCACTATAATAATTAAAACTGATGTGTTATAGTAATTATTTTGTTAATTACTTTATAAATTGTGATTAGTCTAAAATCGGAATAGACATGTTGAGACAAAAACCTTCTATTATAGCAAATATAATATAAAATGTATTTAATATGGTCTTATTTTATGTAAGTTTTATAAAATTATATCAATTGTTTTGAGTATTTATACTAAAACATAGCACATCATTTTATAAAATAAAACGAGCTTGTAAATAAAATTATAAGAAATATTAATAAACTCACAGACAACTTTCAGTATAAAATTTTCTTCAAGAGCCATTTTAGGTACTTGAGGATTTTCTGCTCTACAGGTTATCGATTTTCCGTTGTCATCTGTCGTGGGTATAAACGTCATCTCACTAGATGTAACATTCTCTTTAACATCGTCTTGCTGAAACACAAACAAAAACGGATCATATTACACAAAATTTAATATAATATGATACCAGAACTGAATTAGTATAATATATACATTTAAAAAAACATTTTAAGAAAATCTAAATACATTTTACACAAACATATTTATGTAGATCGTAAAAATAATTGCATCACAAATAGTAATTAATTCTTGGCGATTATGAAACGTTCTCAAATAATACAATAATTTACAATAATATTTTTTCTATTGAATTATGTGTAGTAATTTAAATTAGAAAATACTCATATGTATTTTTTTCAACTAAACATTATTGTAACGTGGTTGGGGAAACCTTATTATGATATTAATTATCCAGGGAAGGGTTTTTACTCCTTATGGATAAGTTTTCCGTAGCTGCGGGGTTAGATCACTATTGTGAAGTGTTTATCAATTATAGACACGTTTGATTTATATATCTAATAAATATATATTTAAAATATACCTTACAGCTTTTGGTAGATGGCTGTTAATTATTGTATTGCTTGGTTCGTTAGCATTGATGGCCAGTGTTAAACTCGTGTCGTGTGTCATTTTAATATATTAAATAATAAGTCATTTTAATATATTAAATAATAATTTGGAACGTGTAAAATGTATATATATATATATATGTATGTGCATATATTTTGTGTTAATCAATCATATCGTGTGTTTAATGTATGTAAGTATTTATATAGGGTGTAACGAACGTTATATTATATTAGTTTGATTTTATATTAATAATATTTAATATATTTTTTTTACATAAATTATTGACTCAAAAATAAAATCATGTAGCTTAATATATACGAGGTATGTCTACAAAATAAGTTTCATTGGGCAATAAATATAAGTAAAACATAAATTAAAAAAAAAATAAATAAATAAATATTTGGAACGTTAAATACAAATTTTAGGCTATTTTCTAACAAAATTCTTACCTTTATTTAAATACTGATCATAATGAGGCACTATTTTTTGTATTTCTTCGTCACGGAAAGACGCTGTCTGTGATTATAATATTATATATATATATTATTATAATTTGACTTATTAGCTATAAGAATACATATATGTAAGAGTGTGTATGTGTCTATGCATTTTGTGTATCGACAAAAAGATTCAAATACTCGGTTACATCCTGCTTATCATCCTCGGATAAAGATTTATATCCATGTGTATGTCATGTCTAAAAATACGTCTATAATATTATATCTTATCTTTTATAATACATAAGATCTTAAAACCCACAGTAGGTCTTTAGTTGGTGTCTAGACTATTGTTGTCAATGGACTTTTCTTTTTTTTTTTTTTTAAATCTCTTCAGATATTCTTATACTTGTTCAGCTCTTACTGTAAGATACCTCATTGTTTAAGTTTAATTAAATTTACAGAGATGAAAAATGTGTGATGATCTTTCTATCGTTCAATCTACCTGCACCTTATTCTTTATCTGTTTAATTTTCAATCAATCCAGTGATTAGATAATTCATAAATTGAGTTTTATTTTCAGAATTTAGATTATATAATGGTGTTTTAAATAATTAAACTAAACGTATTAAATTATTTCAGTGATTATAATGATTTTCAAAAAAAAACATTTAATTATTTTTCATGGCCCTGAATCGTGTATTAGTATCGTATGAAACGTTAAAGTAATTTATCTGCATGAGATATAATATAATATATATAATTTATTATGCATGGTGGTCATGTTTAACGTACATTTACACTACTTAGTATTTACATGCAAAACATATCATATTATATTTTTAATATTAATGTCATTCATCGTACGCATTTTTGTATAATATATAAACTTATTAAATTATATAAAACAAGTAAATATATTGATTTTTTTTTTCAAAATCTCTTAGTTTTAAATTTATTTTAAACAACATTAATTCATTATATTGAATACCATTGTTCATAATTGATTTGATACGAATTTTCAAATAATGACTTCTATACTAAATTAAACACACTTCAATAAATACTATTTAATCTATTACTATTGTTTTTATATATAAAAAGAACGCTGTTTGTTGAAATAACTTGATTTTTTTAATATTAGTTTACTTTTAAACGGTTATATATTTATGTATTATAACAAATAAAATAAAATAAACAATAACTTTGTACAATACTTTCACAAGGCACAAATACACCCACATTATTTATCATAACCAACTCTATTAAATTTCAGACAAATAAAGTGGTGAAAAGGATGTTGTACACAGATATCAACATTGGATAAAAACGAAGGGCACTGTATCAACGGTATGGATCTGAATTTCCAAACCAACAATTGTAATAACTATTTTAATTTAACAGATTCAAAGCAAATTGTATGTATATAGTTTTTTACCTACATTATGACCAGACTAAGTTTTATGTGCTTACATAGCATAATATTATATGTAAGCGTAAATAAGTCGTTACCCGAATTTATTTAACATCACACACACACACACACACACATATATATATATATATATATATATATATGGGCATTATATTATAACTCAATTTAAAGGTTTTATAGCATGTTCAATTGTTTTTCCAATTCGTTTTTAATATAAAATAATTATATAATTTAATAAAACACAGATTAAATAGCAAATATTTCCTCTTTTAATATTTAAATAATATAAATATTTCTTGTTTTTTTTTCTAAAAGAAATTAGGCAGTTTTGTTATTTTCCAAGTAACTTACATGGTTTTCTAAACTTAGTATTCATGTAACAGCAAAAATTTAAATAATATATAAATCATTTTTTATTTTAAACATTAATATTTTTTTTTTTTTTTTTTAAATAAAACTATAATCATTGATAATATTAGATTTGGAGTACTTTGATGGTTGACGAAACAAAAAAAATAAAGGATCAATTAGTCAATTATTGTTTTAATATTTCACTAAACATTGAAATAATAATTTAATAACTAAATTCATAAGTTACACAGTCAAAATTCGTGATTTTTTTTTACTTTGCTTATTGGAAATACAGCTGGAAAGATAAAATATGTGGGGAGGATAGTATACTGGAAACCCCAACCCTCTCCACGAAATTTCTTGAATAGTTTAAAAATATATAAAGTAACTGTTTATTCTTAGTACTAACATAAATGACTAAAACTACAATTTATTAATTATATTATCAACTGTTTTGTATCATACTGTAATATGAAAATATTATACTTGCGTCCTTCCAAAGGTAGATTATAGTATTTTATATGTTATGTGTTATAATTCATATACTTTATTTTCAACTAAATGTCAAAACCTAAATTTAGTTATTATACAATATAAAATTTTCAGATTTTGTATCACCTACGAAAACAATTTCTGAATAATATGGCTTTAAAAGCAGAATACCGTTCCAAAGGTAACATTCACGCCAATGTACTGAATTTGCCTATACATCGCGCCGACCAACGGTTATAGAATAGAGATATTTATTAGAACACCGACGAGAACATGAAATTAGTAGATATCTAATAGTTCCTAAACGAAAATTCTTATATCTATTGATTAGACTCACTAACATTAGTGCATATTTTTATATCGATATTATTAATGAATAATAATTAGCAGGTCATATTCGACGGTATCATAATATTATAATATTGTATTGTCTATACATATCACATTTTAAGAAAACAAATAATGATTGTATACGATATTGAGAGTATGGAAGATGTGTTAAACCATTTTCTCATCCTTTTCACTACGCCAAGTTTCAGATACATCATTGTTCTATTTACATAGGAATAATGGGCATAGTCACCCTGTGAGATGTATTGCGTCATTAATAAAATAATATTGTATCGTCGCTAAAATATGTAAATTGCTCGTTACGGAGGCGGTGGCGAAAAGTGTCGCAGTTTTAGCACATTAACCGTTCGATGGAGCACGAGTCAACGTCATTGAGCGAGCGGATAGTGGATTGCATAAAGGTCAAATATTCAGCTATTCCTGCGGGAAAAGGCGATCGGTAGAGACGGTGGTGTGTTGGTTGCTAAAGAGAAGTCGACGGTCGGGCCGCTGTGGAGTATAGGTGGGTAGCTTGTGTGACTGAGGGTTCACCAAAAACGTTTTCGGCGAATTCTTCAAGTTTCGATAGTAACAGAAATACCATGTAACACATATAATATAACTTAACGAAATGATAAAAAGCTCAATGGCTAGCTTTGCATAGTAATACAGTAGGTACATAATATGACGTATATAGACTATATTATATTATGATGCAACGTAGTATATGAACATATTATGAACCCTCAGTGAAATGTATTTTGTGTAAGTGGTTATCCATGCAGAAATCGACTGTCATTGCCTGTATTGGTTTTTCCACAAAAACTCGGTTGAAAGCGTAGTTACAGAATCAGTTATATGTTCTGCGCTCGCCGGTTCATGCACAATATATCAAGAATGCATTAATGCGCTTGTATCTACATGTAATTTCGATGAATTTTAATTTATTTAATAAAAAATCACGTATAGTGTATACATTAAAATATACAAATATTATTTCAAGTGATTTTGATAATTTCATCGAAATCATTTCACAAGTTTTAATCGATTTGTGCTCATTGTTCCCCGTTTTTATGACTTTCGAGAATCATCTATTTGTATGCTATTAAAATTTAATTATAGGCCGAATTCGAAACGGTGAAACGCTATTGCTTAATGTACTTACACATCATGTTATATGCCTACTTATATTTTATTCATATTGCATTAACTAATTCACAAAACTTAAATTACTATTAAAACGTTAAAAAAAAAAATTAGGTTAAACTCGCATAGGATTACTCTTATTCTTTCTCGTATTTTTGTACGTCATTTTCGGTCATCGACTAAAATTATGTATTAAGCACGTTAGTACATGCGATACGTGTTATTACGCGTATTACGCGGCGCGTCTACTGGATAAGAACGTTTTTATAATATCTTGTGGCACTAAATCGTATAGCCCATATACATTTTTC